AATTTATATGTGAAATAACCCTTTAAAAAATCCGAACTTAATGACCCTAACTATGTTTTGATTAATTAGTTTATTGACCCTAAGTACGGACATTTGGACGTACTAGCTACCCCAGTGTTGTCTAGGGTTTTTAAGATTTTTTATACCGTATTATACAACTAGTATAATATCGTATAATACCAATATTATACACAGAGGGTATATAGGTATAATATAATTAAAACCAATTTAGCCAATTAAATCGGTTTATTTGAGGACACGAGGATTTCCGATTTAAACCTTAGAAATTTTCGAAAGATTCCGAACCATATTAAACTATATAACCCTGGTGTCGGCAGAAAAATTTTACTATCACGTGATGATCAACAGCAAATTGGCCAATAATTAATTGTGATTTGATGTAACGTAACACGAATGATTTTCTGCGGTGGTAAATAAATAAATTCAAAACAAACGTTCAGAAATCGCCTTATCGTTATGTGTATTATCAAAAAGTGTTCCTTGAACGATTTTACTTTTAAAACTCTCAAACCCTAACCTAAACGAACTTAGTGACAGTAAGATATTAAACTGTAATCTATATGTATAATCGAGTTTTTTTTGTTAAACGCCTGTAAAAAATAATCACTTTTCACTTCTTTTCAATCTCATAGAAAATGATTATTTCAATCGTACTCCTTACAAATGGAGTTTCTTAACGAATCGACATTGAACCATTTGATATTTATATAAAATCTTTCGAAGCCATTTTTGACCGTGAACAAGGCGCTCGGAAGGAAAGAGCACGATAGCTATAGAGAGGGAAGTAAATTTTTTTATTGGAATTTAAGTGGGAAAAAAGTGACGTGACGGGGGGCTTACTGGGTCGTCGTCATTCAAGGTTACTGGCTGAGTCACAAAATCAGTACTGGAGCACAGGTAGCTTACTGGGTTGCCTGTTGTTCAAGGTTACTGGCTGATCCAGTACTGATCCCACTGGAGCACAGGTGGCTTACTGGGTTGCCTGATGTTCAAGGTTACTGGCTGATCCGGTGGGATGAAAAATTGGAGAAAATAGATGATAAATTGTAGTTGAGCATATTTTTAATTTTCTAATCTTTCGTACTAGGGTGATGATCGGAAAATTGCTAAAGACTGGGATAAAGAGCGTAAGTCAGATAAAATGAAAGCCTCTTCAATTAACATTAACAATTCAACTATTTCGGGAAGTGGAATTGGAACCGTTGAACGTGGAGTTTTCACTTCTGTCTTACAAAATAAAAGAGACCAGGAAGCGGTACATATATATTATAATTCGTAGAAAGATCTACTAAAATGGCAGTTGTTTACTTATATATCATTTTGTAGACAAATCCAAGAAAATGTGCAAACGACGTTACCGCCCAAAGGATCAAAAAAGGGTTCTACAAAATCCCGAAAACCATTTTCACGAAAGAACATAATACCGACCAAATTGGCCAACATTATAACTAATGCTGGCTAACTTTGTCGGTATTATGTCCCGAAGGGAATCTGTCTTTCGGGATTTTGTGGTAAAACCCACACGGAGGTATTTTTGTTGACTATATAATAATTAGGCTCACTTCACTCATAGTTTTGTAAACTAAACAAAAAGCGATCTTTCTTTTTTCGGCTAATCTTTTTGATAGATCAGAGCTATTGCTTCTCAACATGATCCACCATATGAAGTTCCTTCTTTCTCGTCAGATTCCAAATTCATAACAACTCCTACGAATGCTGATATAGACGTAGCTAAAATTATTGATTCAATCCCAGATGATAGACCAGAAGATGCAACTATCGATGACGCTGAGAAAATAACCAGCGATCGCCTACTGCAGAAAAAGTGGAAAAAGTAAGTTTTTCAAGTAATTGATCATAATTAGCAAGATCTAATCATTAATCGATTAATATTTATCATTCAAAAACGATAATCTCATGGGAACACGTTGTTAATAAAATAAAAATTTCCGATAAATCGGATCATGATGTAATTATTGGAATACAATATCGTCCGATATATTAGTAATAACTTTTTACATAAAAATGAAGATGTTTTATTCGTCGATTTTTTTACTTATAGTGGTTAGTCAATGGACACAATATTCAAAAGAATTTCGTGACTTTAAATACATACGGTTGAAAGATTAAAAAATAACCCGACACTTTCTTATGTCGATGAAATCTTGTAAGTATTGTCACACTAGTTGATCGATTTTTCTAACTTTTATGCGTAATGCAGGTGTCTCTCGTTTATCATGTATGTAAAAGAGGAAATGTCGAAATATATAAATTGTACTAGTCAAGTTTGGAAGGACGCGTTTGCCCTAACACCCGTGACCTTACCGATTAGTGTAAGTTCTGCAGGATATTGAGAGCATTATAATTAGTAGTTGACTAATGATAATCTGTTCTTAGCTCTTAACAGATAGAAAGGTTTTAAGAGAAAAGTGGCGCCAAAATTGGGCCAAATGTGATGCTTCGATGACCGAAAGAGAAGCCAATATCTTTGAATGTGTGCAACTCGTAACTAGGAACTTGTAAGTAAAAATTTTGTATTGTGTTATCTTTGTTTGCATTATTAACGATACTTACGATTATCTGGCACTTCTGCAGTTTTTTGGATATATCATCGTTAAGTAGCACTAGTAATAATGTAATGGACGAAGGCACTTTCGTTCACAGGATTTAATGTTGGAAGAAATCTTTAATGTGACGAATTATAAGTTTTTATACTAATAGTATTGTATATACTGCTAATGTAATTTTTTTTATTGATAAAATCAGAGCCAATGGAGAATCAAGTAGCTCAAAGGAACGACGAAAATCTGATGGTAAGAAGCATGGGCGGAAGCCAGATTTTCGGTTAACTTTTTGACTTTTGGAGAAAAAAACGAAATTGTCTTCGGAGAAATTAAACTGCCTTGTGCTGCAAATAATGTAATAAACCATGCCTTGATCAAACTTGGTGAATTAATGAAAGGTTCATTAGATTCTCTATACGAACGATTTGGGTATTCTCAATGTTCGGAAACATAATTAAAGGTTAGCTTATCACTATTGAAATTACTAAAGCTTAATGTAGTGATGCAAACGGCTTGAGCCAAGCCAAGAGCCAAATGGTTAAGCCGAGCCGATTAACGACTCGGCTCTGGGTTTACTAATAAAGCATCGGCTCTAAAACGGCTCGGCTCTAAACCCTTAAAGCTGATATGGAGTCGAGAGCCGATTAATTTGTATCACATGACCATCATCCAATAGTAAACGACAAACATTCTGCTAAAAAAAAAGTAAATTGCGCGTTATTTTAAACTATATGTTAAATCAGCAAATAATAATCGGATCAGGCTTGAAAGGCTGTGCTGCTAAAATTTAATAGCAACTATTTTATTATATGATTAGACTTAAATAACAGATTGTTAAATATAAGTGAAGTTTAATATAAAATATAAACCAGGGCAATAATTAACACTATTTGTATATAGAACTACTTAAGTTTTATTTTAAAAATAATTGGAAATTCTATTTAACAAATACTTCAAATCAGATGTATCTAGCTAGTTTGTTATATAGAGTTGCAGCTTGCGGCTTGGCTCGGCTTGATGTTAATCGGCTCACAAATGGCTTGGCTCTGACCTTTGGGGCCAAAAAATCAGCTTGGCTTGTCAATGCAAGCCGTGAGCTGAACCGAGCCATTTGCATCAATAGCTTAATACCAACTAACTAGATGTAAACTTAACAGAATATCAAATTAAGCTGATCAGCATGGACCTTGCATTTGAACTCCTACAAAGAGATCCCCAAAATTCCAGGTCAGAAGCTTTGGAGCTCTGGTCAGAAGGGCTGGAGTTGATCAATTTTGCCCCAAGATCACTAAGAATTTTACTACATCAGGAGAAATTTTTTAGTGCTATTCTGCGCAGATTTGCAAAAAAATTAAATAATAAATTAAATGAAAATCTGTGCAAAACTTCAGACTCACCAGCAGCCACAGAAATTAAAATACAGTTCTGCGCAAAATTTCAAGATATAAAAAATTTTGCAGTTTTTTACAAAAAATTCTGCAAAAATCTGCATTTTTGCAGGTTTTTGCATTTTTGCACTTATTTAATTCTCTCAATGTAATGAAATAATAGTCATTTATTAAGTGAAAAGTGCTCAGCTGATAATTATACTATAGCCTATAGCTTTCGCTAACTCTAACCCAACCCTAACCAAGCTCTAACCATGACCCTAACCACAACGCATTTTGGCTATTATGATATGGAATTTTGGGGATCCCCCTGTAGAAAATTTGCATTTGACTAATTATACAGTTGGAAGGGCTACTGAAGATGCTAATTTTTTAAATATAGTTTCTGTTATTTCAAACTTTTATAGTTTGTTAGTAAGAGTCTGTTACTATTGTAACAAATAATTTTTATTTTTTTTATTTCAATAGTATATATTTTGTTTATTTTATTTTATTTTTATTTAGTTTTTTATTTTTATTTTATTGTATATATTTTTTTTCTCTTCCACTAATTCTATTTTGATAATAATACCCACATATATTAATTTACAATTTAAATAGGGCAATACTATTTGTACCTCCTATTTATATAAAAAATGATTAAACTAATCATTATATATAATATAAAAATACATTATCTTAGTTTTTAATTCAAGATGATAAGCATTGCTATTCATACAACAATTAGTTAAATTATTTTTTTACATGAGTGGGGGCAGTGTTGTATATGGGACTAGGACATGGGATTAGAACACTTTGTCTGGTACTGTCTAGGACAATTGTCTCAAGGTTTTTGGAACTAGAACATATATCTCTAAATTAGATAGTTTTTATTAGATAAAATAGCTTCTAGTTTTGTTACCTTTTGTTAGTTTTATTATTTTGAACAAAAGACAAAACCTACAGTATTTTTATATTATATTAGTAACAAAACATCTAGGTTTAGTAATAGAAACTATCGATATTATACAACTAATCCTTTACCTAGTATACACCTTATAAAAAATTATTTTACAATACACCATTTTCAGAATGATCTGGTATTGTAAATAATTTTTTTATAAGGTGCACACTGGGTGAAGGATCAGTTGTGTAATATCAACAGAAGTTTGTCTAACAATATTATATAAATCATATAACTTATTACAAAATCTAGAATGCTATATTTACAAATTTACTAATTATAAGAGTTTCTTAAATATTTATTCTAATAATAATTTAAAAATAAATAGTATATTCACTTAATTCATGTATAAACATTTTAATAATTATATATACAATAATTATTTATTTTCTTAAAATCCTAACATTAAATATATTTGCTAAAATAAACTGGAACCCATTACAATTTATTGACTTCATGTTTGCAGTAAATATTTATAGACAAAATCAAAAACTAAAAATAAAATTACCCAAATCAGCTGATCTTAAATGCTTCTAGTAATTTATTTCTAATTATACAAATTACTATCACTTTCATATTATTTATATAAAATTATTATTTCGAATTATGATATTTATCATTAAAACATTCTATATGACAATTTACATTAGATCTTATGAGTTTATTAACTAGGCAATTCAATTAAACCAATTTAATATTTACTGGTTTATAGCACATTTTATTAGACTAATAGCAATTCTAATTGAACAAATAAATTTTCTAACTGCTATTTAGCATCTTTATCTAGAGCAGGATGAATTGCATTATTTAATTCTTCAATATTTATTTGACTTTTTTCAATCCAAAATATATTTTGTTCTTTTTCTAGTAGCTTAGTCCATCCTTGAAGATATTTTTTAAAATCTTCTTCAGAAACAGAAAGGTCATCATTATCTTCATAAGTTTTTTTTCTTCAGATTTATTATATTCTTCATTCTAATATTAATTTTATTATAATATTGTTGATTATTATCTTCATTTGTTATTTTATTGTTATTATCTTCATTTGTCATTTAATTGTCACTATCTTCATTTGTCATTTCATTGTTATTTTTTTCATTATTAGTATTAGAATTTCTTTTATCTACATCCAGAGTCTTGTTAGCATTAGAATTTTCCTTATATATATCCGAAGTCTTATTAGCATTAAAATTTGTCTTATCTATATTCAGAGTCTTAATTGCTTTTAAATTTGTATAAAAATTAGTATTTTGTTGTCAACGATATTTGTATATAATGTCAGCTCTTAATTTACTCATATTAAGTGCTTTTGGCATCTAATTTATAAAAAAATAAAATAAAATTAAAAATAAATAAAAGAATATAAAAGTATATAAAAATTAAAAGCTTAAACCTTCATTTGGCTTCTTCAGTTGTTTTGTATAAATTCCATACAGCTCCAAAGTCTTTCGACAGATGCTGCATTTACACAAATACCAAAAATTCTACAAGTCACAAATCTCAATTCATTAGTTGAATCTGCAACATAATGCTAATAAACTAAAATATCATTCTTAAATTACTGAAATATATTATAATCAAATAGATATTTTTCCAATCGGTAATTATCAAATTCTTGAAGAATATATTTAAATTCCTTGTCAAACTATATGTGATAATAATATATAAGCTATTTTCTAAATATAGTATAGCTAATATTAGGAACTATATGTTGAAACTGTTTTATATGATATTTAGGATATAGAATTAAAGAAAGTAATAAGAGTAGTTGTTTTTATTCATTCTATTGCTGTTCTAGTCTTTCAATTAATTGTAATGCAAGAGAAATATCATGATAATTAGACCAAAATTATACTAAATATCCTATACTATGTACAACCTGAAATAATTAAGCTTTGTCACACTGAAGAATATTAAGCAAAGTATAGTATAAAGTTAAAATTTTAATTATTTGTCTTATATTGTTTCAGAACATTTCTAAAAAAATAATTTTATAAATTTCTTGATAAATAAAATTATCTCCTATACATTGTCGAATTTTAGCAAAAGGTGGCTTAAATTTAATTGTCAAAATCTAAAAATATATAACAATAATAAATAATTTAAATTTACTAAATAATAAATAAGACTTTGTAATTTATTGTTATAGATATATTGCTAGTCTATGCGAAGTTTCAAACTGTGCTTACAAATCATTAAAATTAATGATTTGTAAGCATAGTTTTGAAACTCCACATAGGCTAGTAATTACTATAATGATAAATTACAAAGCTCTAATGAATATTTTTTAATTTTACTAACCCCTAATGCTTTTTGAGTTTTGACAAAACTTGTATATATATAAAAAAGACTATTCTGTCTTGTTTCGCTAGGTGCTACTATTGAATAAATTTTTTGTATATATTATATTGTATATCTTGTAGTTGTCTAATGAAAAACTAATTGTTTGTATTTCAAAATAGTTAGTTAATTTGATTGCATAATCAATTGTCATCTTGAATTGAATAGATTTTTTAAAAATTTTGCTAATACAAAGATTAAGTTGATATGTATAACAAAATAAAAAAACCACTGATTTGTAAGAAATTCTTAATTTGTGCCTATTTAAATAATATATATATTTGTATAAACCCAATTTTTAATATATTGATATAAACAAACATATATACACCTGGCCACTACATATGCACCAGCACTATTTATAACAATTGCACATAATGTAATATTATTTTTTTTTAATTCATTCATCATAAGTTCTGTTTTATTTATAACTTCAATATGATTTTCTCACTCAGAACTTATATCAAAAACTTTTCAAATTTAAGATTTTTCTTCTGAAGTTAATAGAACTGTTCCAAAAAGATGTTTATTTTTTATATTTGTCCAGCCATTATATATTAAGGTAACTAACTTCTACTGGATCTTCTTTCAATACGATTTTCATTAATTTTCTAAACTATCTACAGCTTTGTTTAAAATTTTATTACCAAGATAATGATAATCAGGAAGTTTAAAAAAAGGGTTTAAAAATTTGAAACATTCTTTTACTTCTGGATTAGTAATTCATGATAATGACCAACTACAAGAAATAGTCATATAAAGTAAATACTGATAAAATTAGTT